CTTAAGCATTCATATAAAGTATTAAAAAGAGTTTGTGAATTCGATTTATAATTATTAATATATTAACGTAAACAATGTTTCAATCGATAGAAATTCAAAAATGACATGTCAATAATTGGTAATTTAAAATTAACACGTAACATTATTGCGATAAAGAGCTGCTTAAATTCAATTTCTTATTCCTTGAAATTAATTTTCATACTGTGCACATTAATGTTATACTAGCTAATTAATCGGTGTGAATGTTTCTAAGTAAAAATATCCTACGCCCTCAAAAACTCTTCCCAAACCTTAACACTAACCTTAAGTGTTAACCTAACGTGAAAAAAGTATTAAAAATTTATATACAGAACTATGAAGCCTTAAAAAATCTAAAAACATAATAAACCATATAATAGGTGCCAAACCACAATAGGTGCGTTTAATAATAAATGATATTAATTTACAAATTACACAATTATGTGAGTTGTTCATTATTATTTTACATTTTGTTAATTAATATTTTAATCCTCAATAAATTCTTGAGAAAGCACACGCTATTTATTCTTGTATGCAAAACAATGTGCTTTATATTAATGTCATATACCGGAAGCCAAGGATTTTTCTAACATTTTTTCTTGAAGAGTTAGTGTGATTTGATACATATGATTACATATTCCGTGCAAATTATGTATGTTATCTAATGAAATGCATTTATACGGATGTGTAGCATATAAACTACTGTCAGGATACATGATTGCATAATGTATGCATGCTATATTATGTAATGCAAAGCCAAAAAAAAATGTGCATTCGCGCATCTCTAAAAAAAAGTTAAAAAAAGTTTTTTAAAAAAACAATTTTTTAAATATGATAAAACACAGTTGATAAGATCCTCTAAAATTTTAGTTTGTAATTTAGCTAAAAATTAAATGCTAACTATTTATCTATTGTAATATAGCAAAAAAATTTATAAATATGTAGAACAGAAAGGATATATTTAATGTTAAATTTCAAGCTTGAGATCAAACCTAAGAGATGATATAAAAAGAAAATGCGTTGATAGAAAGTGCATTTCGAAAGTTTATCTATATATTATTATTATATATTATATATATTGGTAATACAATAATTATATTAACTAAAAATACTTAATTCTAAAAATTAAAACATAATGCAATTAATTTTTTTAAATAAAAATATAGTTAATAAAATTATTTAAGTTAATAATATTTAATTAAAATACTTTATATATTCATACAATAAATAGTTTATATGATTTGTGTTATATTGGCATTTCTTTTTTCAAAAAATTTTTGATAATAAATAAATGCCTTATGTTTATCTTTTTCAATTCCAATTCCATTATCATAACAAAGAGCAACTTTATATGTTCCATCAGCATGTCCCATCTCAGCAGATTTTTTATAATAAATAAATGCCTTAGATTCATCTTTTTCAACTCCGATTCCATTACTATAACAGAGAGCAAGATTATATGTTCCATCATCATGTTCCATCTCGAAAGCTTTTTGATAATAAGTAAATGCTTTGTATTCATCCTTTTCAACTCCGATTCCATCTTTATAACAATTTCCAAGATGATATATTCCATCAACATCTCCGTTTTCGGCAGAGTTTTGATAATAAATAAATGCTTTATTTTCATCTTTTTCAACTCCAATTCCATTTTGATAATAATAACCAACTTGATACATCCCATTAGTATGCCCTGCTTCAGCAGATTTTTGATAATAAGTAAAGGCTTTATATTCGTCTCTTTCAACTCCAATTCCATCTTCATAGCAATTACCGAGATGATATAATCCATCGGCATGTCCAATCTCAGCAATCTTCTGATAATTAATAAACGCTTTATGATCATCTTTTTCAACTCCAACTCCATTTTGATAACAATAACCAACTTGAATCATTCCATCCATATGCCCCATATCAGCTGATTTTTGATAATAAATAAATGCTTTATATTCGTCTTTTTCAACCCCAATTCCATCTTCATAGCAATTGCCAAGATGATACAGTCCATTGGAATGTCCAAGATCAGCAGATTTTTGAAAATAAATAAATGCTTTATGATCGTCTTTTCCAACTCCAATTCCATTTTGATGACAATAACCAACTTGAAACATCCCATCAGTATTCCCCATATCAGCAGATTTTTGGTAATAAATAAATGCGTGGTGTTCATCTTTTTTAACTCCAATTCCATAAAGAAAACATTGACCAACAGAAAATGCACCTTCAGAATCACCCATTTCTGCAGACTTTTGGTAATAAATAAATGCATTATGTTCATCCTTGTCAACTCCAATTCCATTATGATAACAATAACCAGCATTATGTATTCCGATAGGATGCCCCATGTCAGCAGATTTTTTATAGTAAACGAATGCCTTATCCACATCCTTTTCAACGCCAATACCATTTTGGTAGCAAGTACCAAGACAATTTGCCCCGTATGCACTTCCAAACTCTGCAGATTTTTGATAATGTATAAATGCTTTATGTTTATCCTTTTCGACTCCGATCCCGTAATCATAACAATTGCCAATGCCCCATATTCCATCAGCATTTCCCATATCTACAGATTTTTGATAATAAATAAACGCCATATGTTCATCCTTTTCGATTTCAATTCCATGTTGGTAACAATTACCGACTTGAAACATTCCATCAGAATTACCCATTTCAGCTGATTTTTTGTAATAACTGAAAGCCTTGTAATTATTCTTTTCAACTCCAATTCCATTTTTATAACAATGCCCAACTTGATACGTTCCTTTAACATGTCCCATATCAGCTGATTTTTGAAAATAAATAAACGCCTTATTTTCATTCTTTTCGACTTTATCACCAAGAAAATAACATTGACCAAGTCGAAATATATCATTTGGATTCTCAAATTCAGTAAATTTTTGACCTTGAACGAGTTGAACCTTTTCAATTACATCTATATCATCAGGTAAGATATGAAATAGATTCTTTATCAGGCTTTGGCTATTTTGTTCGTCTTGATTTTCTTCTATTTAATATAATTATGATTATTAAAAAAAATTTTTACAAAATAATTTTGAACAATGGTTATTTATTATTATGATTACCCAAATATTCAGCGCTCAGATGTTCGAAATAGATTTCATCAGGAAATGTATCAAAGTGAGGTAATGTTGACATGCTGTAATTGAATATTTCATCAGCCTTCTTTATTTGTGCAACGATTTCAGTTGATTTATTGTCCAAAATTTCACAATTCCATATATTTAGAGTGTCGTAGATTTCTTTGGATGTTGGCCTTTTGTCTGGTTTAGCATTCCAACATTTAATAATTAATTCAGAAACTAAATTTGGTACACTTGTTGGAATGCTTGGACGTAAACCATCAAATGTGATCTTACGAGACAATTGGAGATTATCTGGAAAATCGTGAAATGCAAGAAGACCTGATACTATTTCATACGCAATAATGCCAAATGAATAGACATCAGACGCCATACTGTATTCCCCCTGATATAACACTTCAGGTGCTAGATATTGGATTATGCCATATAGCTTATTACTTGATTCTATATTAGCTAATGTTGAAAGCCCTAAGTCTATAATATATGCACTATGAAAATTTTCTAGTAATATATTTCCGCTATGTAAATCTCGGTGAATAAGATTTTGCAAATGAATTATTTGAAGATCAGAAGCAATGCTCTCTAACAAAGCTAATTTTTTTTTCCATTCCATTTGTGAAATACTATAAAGATTTTTGCGTAAAGAGCCTTTTGACTCCAATTGCATTACAAGAATATAATCCTCGCCCTTAGAAATACCCAAACATTGTAAAAAAGTCGGATTTTTAACACCAATTTCACAATATGCCGTCAACTTATTATTACAAGGAATATATTAAAATAGTTAGCATAACATCAAAATAATAAAAGATTGAATGAATTACCTCTTTAATAAATTCTTCACTACGACTTTTGGATTCATTAAAAATTTTAAGTGCGACAGTCGATACAAGATGTTGATTATAATTATTCCATTGTGCACGATATACAGTTCCAAATCCACCCCTTCCTATTTCTTCAATTATTTCAAATTCATTATAAGGGATCCATGCCAATTGATATTTGGTTTTGATCAAAAAATTTTTCAAATCGTCATCAATATGAGAACTTTTAATCGCCCATTCATTGTTAGCTAGTAAACATAATGAAGATAATTTAGATACTAAACAATTTTACTTGAATTAGTTATAATGGATTTTTTTTTTTTACCGGATTTTGTATTTCTTTGCCTAAATAATGATTCATATATTTAATCAAAAATATATGCTGCAACAACGAAACAATTAAAACTTATTTACCTTTGATACCAATAATTGGCCTTTTGCAAATTTCTTGTTACTCCAATCCCATTTCGATAACAATGAGCAACTAGATTCATTCCTTCTTCTTCTCCCATATCAGCAGATTTTTGGTAATAAGAGAATGCTTTATATTCATCACGTTCAACTCCAATTCCCTTTGAATAACAATAACCAAGATTAAGCATTCCAGTAGCACTACCTATCTTAGCAGATTTTTTGTGGTTAATAAATGCTTTATATACATCTTTTTCAACACCAATTCCCATTTGGTAACAAAATCCAATAGCATCAATTGCCAAAGTACTTCCCATTTCAACTGATTTTTGATAACAATTGAAAGCCTTATTTTTATCTTTTTCAACACCTATCCCATTTTCGTAGCAAAAGCCAATAGTATACATTCCTTCAATATGCCCCATTTTAGCTGACTTTTGGTAATTAATAAATGCCATATTTTCATCTTTTTCAACTCCAATTCCGCGTCTATAACAATTACCAACACTATAGATTCCCTCAGCATCTCCCAAATTAGCAGATTTTTGAAAATAAATAAATGTCTTACGTTCATCTTTTTTAATCCCAATTCCATCACGATAGCAAACCCCAAGGTTAAATATCCCATTAATATTTCCCATTTCAGCAGATTTTTTATAATAATTAAACGCTTTAGATTCATCTTTTTCAACTCCAATTCCTTTATAATAACAACAACCAACCTTATACATTCCATTAGAATTTCCCATATCGGCTGATTTTTGATAATAAATGAATGCTTTACATTCATCTTTTTCAACTCCAACACCATTTTGATAAGAGTCACCTACAATTAACATTGCTTTAACGTTTCCCATCTCGGCAGATTTCAGAAAATAAGCGAATGCTTTATGTTCGTCCCTTCCAATCCCTATTCCTTTGAGGTAACAATAACCAAGACTATAAGTACCATCAACATGCTCCATCTCAGCAGATTTATAATAATAAATGAATGCTTTATTTTCATCCTTTTCAATCCCATTTCCATAAAGATAGCATTGGCCGACATAAAACATTCCATCAGAATCACCCATCTCAGCAGATTTTTGATAATAAATAAAAGCTTTAAATTTATCCTTTTTTACACCAATTCCATTATCATAAAAAAAGCCAACATTAAATGTTCCACCAGCATCGCCCATTTCAGAAGATTTGAGATAATAAGTAAATGCAATATAGTCATTCTTTTCAACACCAATTCCATTTTCATAATGATAGCCAACATTAAATAAACCATCACAATGACCCATCTCAGCAGATTTTTTATAATAAATAAATCCCCTATCTTCATCTTTGACAACACCAATTCCTTCGCAATAACAGACGCCAAGACCATATATTCCATCATAATAACCTAAGTCGGCAGATTTTTGATAATGAATAAATGCCTTATTTTCGTCCTTTTTAACCCATTTACCAAAACGAAAACAATTTGCAAGAATGATTTGAACTATAGGATTAATTTGATGATTTAAGAACAAGTTGAATATACTATCTGGTTGTTGATTCATATTTACTAAAAAATTATCTATTATATTAATAACAGATTCCATATCTTTGCCGTTCTTTCTCTCTTTATCATATATATTGCATGATTTTTCGACAATTTCATTAAAGAATTCTTGTGAATTATCATCATATGTTTGGTGTTCATTTAACATTCTTTTTTTTTTTTCAGGAAAAATGAGTTGCAAGTAAGTATCAAGTTTATGAATGTATGTGCACCGCAAATATTGTTGCGATGAAAATTTCATGCGTAACGATTCTTACCATATGCAACGTAATTGTGGTACGTATTGCAACAGTTTTTGTATTCGGTAAAATGTTCTTTGTACGTACGTACATACGTAATTTCTGCTAAAGACTTAGTGTTTTTTAATTTAGTTTTATACCAATGTTAAATACGTACGAACCCGCGCAATGGTTTAGTATAGCAATACTTCCATATAATGGACAGTTTTGCACAACATTTTATATTAATAACACTCGGATATGTATTAAGCGTTGTTACTCGCTTTTCCGAAGCCTTTCTTTCCGAAATACTATACTATAGCTCCGACTCCATAATTCCGAGAACCCTTTTTCCCGACAAGACCCATTTCCGACAACTTAGTTCACCGGCAGTTTATTTCACCGATAGTTTATTTCACCGACAGTCATTTCACCAAAAGTAATTCCGGTATTGTCGTTATTAATTTAGAACTAGAGCTTGCACATGTGGCGACTTCGTCACCAAGGTTTAATGTATTTACTGAAAGATAAGAAATTTATATAGAAATTAATATTATATTATCAGTATAGAAATTATTAGCTTAATTTTTTTGTTTAAATATAAAATTATCATACTTTCTTTGGTTTATCGTATAAGCTACCCAGGATAGTATTAATCGTATGACATGTAGGCGGCTTCATCACCTAGGCTTTATGAACATATTAATATAAAACAATATTATGTAATGAATGAATAATGTGTTTGTACTTAAATGCTAAATGTGATTAAAAGTTTATATAAAGCAAATTTGCAATTGTTATTTTATGCCCGCTATAATGGTGTAAAGCAACCTGGCAAAGAATACATGATCCAAAGTTATAAGAATTGGGACCTTAATTCTCATTGATCAACAAAAGCAAAAGTATTTAATAATGCTAATTCTGTTTGGCTTGAGGTGAAGTTCTATTGAAGTACCATAAAGCATTGCATTCAATACCCGCAATACAAATCAAAAAACCTTGGCTAACTTGATTTATATCCGGTAATTTTATGTGAGGGAAAAGATAAAATCTAGTGGGAAATACTTCAAATGATTCTTAAACAAGGGTCATGTTTATTGGATAAGAATAACTATACAAACATAATTGAAATTAAATAACGGTAATGAGATTTTAATCTGATAAAGTACAATTCTAGTGAGGTACTAAATGCAGCGCTTTATAGTACAATAGTAAAGTGTCTCTGGTATTCAAATGGTGGAAACTAAAATCATAGTCATGTAAGTAAATATGAATTACTCACCGTTAGTTATAGAATTTCCTCTGATACTATATATAAATAGTTATATTGCTTGTAAGATTCTAATCGTAGTAGCAAAAGCCTATCATATATAAAACTTATTGATTTTATGTAACTAAACAGTATGAATAAAGAGATATGATAGTACTAAATCATAAGTTATAATACATAATATAATCAGAAAAGATTAAAAAGTTATTAATATTTTTATTTGTTAAAGAAAAAATTGTTTTGCAAAAAAATTTTTGATATGATTAAAGATTATCAAATCATCAGATTGGCAAAAATCTAAAACAAAAACAAAAATTTTGACAAAATTGAAAATCAAAACTAACAAACTAATGTAAAATATAATTTGAATTGCATTTTTTTTTTATCTATTATTATAATATTATGCTTATAATGAAGTTTTTTTGCAATTGCTGATTATAGTTTTTTTTAGTTTAGATTGTTCTTTTGATAGTATAGTGGCTATAACTAAATATATTCAAACTCAGACCAGTTTGCAGAGTTCAGACCAAACTCAAACTTGACTAAAAAGTCTAAATATAAAGTCTAAGTCTAGTCTAAAAATCAGACCAGACTTAGACTTGACTAAAATTTAGTTTGAGTTTGGTTTGTAGAAGTACTAGATATAACTTTAGTAACAGATTAGCAATTTAATTTATCAAGATATTAATTGTAATATATATAACAGAATATTTAAATTTTATTATCAGTAGAATTTGAACCTTAGATATGCTGCTTAGAAATATAACAACTTTACTACTTTACTAAGTTACTATACTCTTATTAGTACAATTATCTAAATTAAAAAAAATATTATATAATATATA